ACACACACACACACACACACACACACACACACACACACACACACACACACACACACACACACACACCATTGAGAGCCTGGAACATTTTCTCCTCGGCGGCATCCCTCACTTACCTCCCCCTGCTGGCTAATGATAGGCACTGCATACTGAAGTTTCACATCACAGAACAGGCATTCCAGGAACACGTTTGCCACACCTATCAGGTTGTGATTCTCTTGGGCTTCATAAAAAGGGTCGCCTCGTTTTCCATACAGTCTCTTTGCCTGAGTGGTAGGTGCAGTGAAAAACTAGCATTATGAGGAGTTTAAAGGAATATAACTATAGAAATAAAAAACTAAAATGAGAATCAGGTCCATTCATAAAACACAGACAGGGGTCAAGAGAGGAGCTATGTGATGCCCAAGTGCTGTGCTCAGCCTCCTCTTCCCCTCCCGCCAGGCCTGCAGCCTTTTCCAGTGCATTCCCTGTGCTTAGCCTCCTCAACTTTGCAAGTCTTCTTCCTATTACTGATGTGAGGAAAAATAGGTTCTGCATAGCAAATGACTTAAAACCTCCCCAGCTGTGATCACAGTTAGAGGCGCCTGAACAACCAAGAATGAATATGAAATCCAGGCTGGCACCAACCAAATCTGATTTTGCAAGTCACAAACAAAACAGTGTCCATATACTTCATCCCACTTCATTTTGCTAGAACGAGGTAAAAAATGAAGCCAAATAAGAATCTGCTTTGTGTGCTCTTCATTCTGTTCTTCTCCATGTAAATAGTACCAACCCCATTTAGCATTCCTGTCAAGACCATTTTATCTTAACACACATGTCCTAAGTATCATTGTGTGTGTGTGTGTGTGTAAATGCACGTGTATAGTGGTTACATCATTTATGATTTTTGCTCTTAATTCTAACAAAATTTCCTTTGTATTTTGTCTCTTTTACCTCAGGAACGTTTTCCTTCCATTCTTGGTAAAGGTCTCTCATATCAATTAACTTATTTTCCAGCTTCTCAATGGTCCAGACTTGGGTGCTCTTCCCTTTCCTCCTCACTTGGATGGCGGGCTCACTCACTATTGCACCTCTCTGCACAACAAAACGAGACATACAGAATGGACAGTACTGTCACTTCTCTCTCTTTTTTTTTTTTTGTCGGTCGTGGGGCTTGAACTCTGAGCTTAGGTGCTGCCCGTTCGCTTTTCAGCTCAAGGCGAGCGCTCTACCGCTTGAGCCACAGCGCCACTTCCTGTCACTTCCCTTTTGATTACTAGAGCTCATATATTTATATTTATACATGCCCCTTTTCTCACAACACACCAAGTAACAATATAATTTCTCATCCCAATCTTTTCTCCATTGTTTAAATTGGAATCACTTTCTTCTCAACATTCTTCATAAACATGATTTTAGTGACAACATAGCAATCCATCAAATATATCTGTCTTTCAAGGTTTTCCTATTGTAAGCATCTTGTCAGATTTTTAACTCTAACAGTACCCTTGTATATAAAGAATATCAAAGTATGTACACTTCCATGCCTAAGGGACTTAAGACTACTAAGTTACCAGCTAAATCACCCTGAGTCACTACTAAGTCACCCAACAAACCAGGATTTTCAATTTTGTGACATATTTGTGACATGTCTAAGCCCTACAGTCTTGCTCTCTAGACAGAAAAATAATGAATGAAAAATTACTCTCCCTTTCAGGAAAATTTCTCCACGTTAAATGACAAGAACCTTCCAAGCAACTGCCAAGAATATGAAGACAGGCGCCACAGTTATCTTCCTTTCTAACAGAATGAACTCTCAGAAAAGTACTATATGAAAAAAATCACCTACCACATCCCCACTTCAGAAGGGGACATTTACATGCAAGAAAAAGCTGGCACTGGACAGGTTATTTATTTATAATCTAGTTCCACTCTTTCAAAGAAAGCATTTAAAATTAGCAAGTCACCATGATTCTGCATATTCTGACAAATGGGAGGGCACTGTTTATTGTTTTGACAGCTTTCCTACCCAGGGAGGTGCACACAGGAGGGCTTACCAAGGGTAAACACCCGGACTTCAGGTCATAGTATTTGCAAGGGTACCTCTTGCTCTCCTCTTCTCTACAGATATGCTTACCTTTCTGTTAGCACTGAGGTTCGCAGCAGGAATCTGAAGAGTCACTTGGTAATCAGTAAGCTTGCTCATTTCTTCAGCAAGGAAATTTGCTTCCCTCACTAGGGTATTTGCTTTAACAAGCTGCTCTCGTAGTTTGGCCAGGCTTTGCCGGAACAGTTCATCCCTGTGGTATTGCAGAAAAGGAAGTGAACTAAGGCAATTATGTTCACAGTGCAACATCCTTCCCTGTACAATTAATATGTCCCTATTCCTCTCTATATAACTTTCTAAACAAAATAGTTCTCTTACAACCTGCTAAATCTCCCAAAATACACCTTAACCCCTCTCCATTGGTTTCTACCTGTTTATGTAAACTCTCCTGGCTAAATGTCCTCCCACCACGGCTGGAGTGTAGTTTAGTAGATGTGGGCACACTTAGCATGTGCAAGGCCCTGGGCTCCACCTCAGCACTATAAAAGAAAGAAGCTAAAAGGAAGACCGACACAATCACTCCTATCTTCCCTCCACATATGCAAACCCTACCCCTTTCATGCTCACTTGAAATCCTTTCTCCACAAAACTTTCCATACAAGACCCATCACCATAGTCATGTCCTCCATTAAACAACTCATCAACTTACTTGGCATACTTAACCATCGCATATGTGCTCGTTATTTTAGTAACTTCATACTATCAATACAAATACCTAACATGTAACCTTGTTCTGAGCACTAGGGATACTTCAATGAATGAAATGGATATCCTGTCCCCAGAACATATTTTCTAGGGGAGAACACAAAAAGCATGTAATCATAAAATCATACTTCCTATTGAACAAAACTGCTCAGTGTGTGTGTGTGTGTGTGTGTATATATATATATATATATATATATATATATACACACACACACATATATGTATGTATGTATGTATATATATGTATTTTTTTTGGTTGGTCATGGGGCTTAAACTCAGGGCCAGAGCACTATCACTGAGCTCTTTTGCTCAAGGCTTGTGCTCTACCACTTTGAGACACAGCTCTACTTTCTGTTTTCTGGTGGTTAATTGGAGATGCGTCTCATAGACTTTTCTGCCTAGGCTGTCTTTGAACCACAATCCTCAGATCTCAGCCCCCTGAGTAGCTAGGATTACAGGTGTGAGCCACTGGCATCTGGCTAAAGTCATAAATCTTGAAAACTCACATTTCAAAGAATCTCACCCCTAAATTTTATTTAAATAGAATTGCAAGTAAATTTTAAAAAAAAAAGAAAAATGAGGAGGGTTTTTTTCCCCTGCTAAAGACATTCAAATGTCTTCTATTTCAGTAACTGTCTTAAGTTTTCTAACATGATTCCATTTTTACTGAAGGAGAAAGAATGGGATTGTGAACAAGATGGTGTTTAACTACAGCAAATTTAGGATGAAAAATATTTATGAAAGGAAAAGCCAAGTATGAAATCAGAAATGGGACTATGATTTCCTTCTTTTCCCCTTCTTTTTTTTTTATTGTGAAAATACCGTACAGAGGGGTTACAATTATATTAGCAAGGTAGCCCCTCTGCTTTTGTATGCCAGTACTGAGGCTTGACCTCTGGACCTGGATGCTGTCCTTTAGCTTTTGTGCTCAAAGCTAGCATTTGGCCACTGAGTCACAGCTCTACTTCCGGGTTTTGGGTGATTCATCGGAGATAAAGATATCACAGTCTTTCTAGCCAGGGCTGGTTTCATACTATGATCCTCAGATCTTAGCCTCCTGAATAGCTAGAATTGCAGCATGAACCACTGGTGCCTGACTTACAATTTCCTTCTTTGTGATGTTTGACCCCATTGATGGGTCTTCATCAGGCTGTGGGCCCTGGACCTTATCTCTGGGTTGCTGGCCTACCATTCTTACCTCTCCTCTGCCCACTGAGTGACCTTCTGCTGGGCCGTCTGGCTACTGTAGGCCAGGCGGTCGGGCCCACTGCTCTGTGGCTGCCTCTCAGGGGAGAGCTGCTGGCGGAGTTGCTCCAGTTCTCGCTCGTACATGAGCCGCTGCTCCTCCAAGGCACTTCTCTTTTCTTCTAAGTATTGCTTCTCCAGGACCTGAACTACATTTTGAACTGGGTCTGGTGAGCCAAGAGAAAAGCAACGGGTGGATAAGACAGGTCTCCACATGGGCACTGAACTCTGTCCTGGCTTTTTCCAACCACAATCATTTCCTGCCAGACAGTATGTGTTTCATGTCAGAGGCTTGAGGGGCTCAGAGGTGAAATCCTGTATCCTTTTACTAACATTTCAGATAAACTCTCTCCACAACCACTGTTGAGTTTCTTCAGCTTGCCAAATCCATTCTACCATCAGGTGATGGAAGGAAAGGGGAGGTGATCCTATACATGAGAAGAAAAATTCTATAAAATCTAAGGCAGCCCCATGGATAAAAGTAGGCATGGCTGGAGTTGTGCCGCAGTCACTTCTATGCCCATTTAACATGCGTTCTGGTCTATGACAAAAGGTTTAGGATTTTCGTCACGAATTTCATGACTTTTATATTTCTCTGTGGCGGGAGCAAACTTTAAAAACATAGCATGTATTCAAAGGTATTATTTATTGAGCATACGGTTATGGCAATTTCTCAGGTGCTACTATCCAAGAGAGCAATTGTTAAAATAACAAAATCCTGCTTCTGGTGTCATATTGGTTCAGATCTAGAGCTCCCTCCCATGCACACAGCTGAGCAGGGTCAGACATGCCAACAGCTCTGGCTCAAAGGAGTAGCTACAAACACTAGTGGTAGCTGTGGTACATGGCGGGACCTGACTCCAAAGAACTAGTTAGACCAATCAGTGGGATGCCATGGAGACAACATAAACAAAATGTCAACTTCCTTCAATAAGTAGACTGCAGGAAGACAGTACGCTAGAAAGACTAGAAGGTATGAGAAGAAAACCACCACAACAATGAATATTTCTCCTCAGTTGGTGGGCTTGGGAGGGGATGCCTGGGATGTACTTTCCTCCTTGCAGGTTCACACAGTTGCCTGCTATTCTGTGCCATATGGCCTGTCTTTCCACACATTAGTTCTCAGTTTCAGGAGGTATTCCTCAGGAGGAATTTTTATATAACCTTATTATGGCTACGGACCAACTTGCAAAATACCCCCATTAGTGTATAAAATAAATACGTAAATTACACCAAGTTTCTCTATGAGCGGTAAGAGAAAAACATAACTTTAAATAGGGTTAAATAATCCAAAACAAAAAAGACCCTTTAAAAAAATATCACAAGATGTGCTTATATGGGTGAGTTGCTTCAATAAAAGTGAGAAACACAAAGGCTACTGGTGATGTTTCAGTAGAGGGACTAGACCCTTTGAATGTACCATCTCATGGAAATATTCCTTTTGTTTATTTTGGAATGGCTTGAACTTGGCCTCATGCTTGCTATTATGATACAGTATAACTGCTATGCACCAGGGGCCACAAACCAATGCTCAGAGATGGAAGAGAGAACAACAGAGACTTCTGAGCCTGTGATGGCCCCAGCACACTCCCAGGTTCATCTTCCTGAGACTCACCACAGCCCCGTAGATGGTTAGTGGCTCCCAAAAACACCTTTGTCAGAGACATCTTAAAACACCTCTCTCTCCTATCAATCAATTTGAACCCTTTGCCACTATCCAGCATGTTTTTTAATAGATCATCCTAATTAACTGGCAAGGCAATCTGACTGTATAATATGGGACAGAAGCTAAGGATCACCTGTCCTGTTCTCTAATGACTCAGTCAGATATTAGGAGATTGCCCAGCTTTGTTTCACCGCTTCACTTTCCTTTTCTTCTTCTCCCTTCCTCTCTTCTCTCTTGCCTAGTTTGGGGATTGAACTCAGGGCTCTGAGATACACTCTAGCCTACTTTCCTTTCAAATGAACAGTGTTAAAATGCAGTGAGCCTGGTATTTAAGCCAAGAAACCAAAGAGTTAATATCTTTTAAGGAGAAAGAAAGGACAGTGTTATTTTGGTAGTATAAATACACCCTCTTCATTACTTCATTCTTTCCCTGGGAGATGTCTTTGAAATGAGCTCAAAGTAATCTCCCCTCCACTGAATGGAAGGAAGGATGGTGGTAGTAGTACTGGTAGGAGAAAATTTATGTGGGAAAGAGTATTAAAAGTTATACTCCCAGATGTCCAAAGCAAAAGAAGAACCTTTAAATCCTAAATGGAATAAATGGGCTCTATGACCTTGGCCAGCTCCTCATTAGTTCACCCCTGTAGAGCTAGTTAGCACTGAAATTGGGAAGAGATGAGTATATCTAATTTCTATCATGAGCCCTTGGGAAGAAGGCAATTATTGTTTATAGATACTAGGTGGATTTTTAACTTTTAAATTCAAATGAATTGGCTGGTAGACCAATATTTACTCTAGAGGCTCAAAACCACATTATTCTTGGGTATTTCTGGGAAAATGGATGTGACTCTATCAGGAACACTGCTGTTCTGAACTGTCATGTTCTCAAGAGCAATAAAGCCATTAGTAACAGTAGCAATCATCCTTCTCTACGCAGTTGGCTACAAAAGGGGACAGACTTTAATCACTAGGAAGGTAGTTGGGTTGGGACATGGCAGGCATGTTTCCCACCACAAATGTAGAGCAGCTCTGTCAGGCATGAAGCTTCTGCTTCTTCCCAGGCATGTCTGCGACACTGTGGCAAAGCAGGTAGCGCAAGCGTCCATCAGCAGCACTGCTAGAAACCAGCCAAGCTCTCATGCTAACACCAGTCCATTCATAACCTTTGTCCCAGTGTTTGTGGAGGAGCTTCGTCTGAAACCACAGGAGAGGGAAAAGGATCTTCAAATAAGACCACCAAGGGGACGACCACCAGGCAGACAGGCTTACTACCGGGAATCCACCTAAGCAGGAGAGGGGAACCCTGTGAACACTGTTGGCCATCAGCACCCAACTCTTGTGTCAGAGCAATTTGTACCCCAGACAGAAGGAAGCTCCATTTACTGGTGGAATTGGGAAAAAGGAGAGAAAGGGAACCATTCGTTTTTCATTGACAAAAGTCAATACTGGAGAGCAAGGCCTGATCCAGGATGCAAAGAAATAGCTTGTTAATACTACAGACCACAAAAGACTCTAATAGGTCTGGGTCAAGGGAGGGAGGAATTAATGAATGCTATTTATTGGTTCCTCTTATATGTGATAAGCCTGAGATCTGGGATAGATCTCTGGTGTGTATATAGTCTGCAGAGCTAAAGAATAGTTATCCAGAATTCTATTGCCTCTTTTGACAAAATAAACTCTCTTCACTAGGCTACTCCTCTATCTGGAATTGGGAGCTCACACCCTCTTTGCACTTCCTGTCGCAACATGAATCTACTTGAGCTTCTGAAAGATCATTCACAAGAGACTTGTTGCTCAGGTATGTTGTGAAATACTCATTAATGTGATTCTGATGACTCAACACCACTTTGGCAGGTCTTTGGGAGTCCTCTCCATTAGTGGGTAAGTGGGAGCATCCTGCAACTGGATTTTCAGCTTAAGCCCACCTTGCACAGCAGTGTCAAAAGGCCTAGTATCTAATCGAAACACTGTGTAGACAGAGATGACCAAACTTCTTTTGTAACATCATGTTCTTTTCATGGTCCTATACTCTATATAAAGACATTATGCTTAATTTTCTAAGTCTTGTCTTTACCTTTTATAAAAGGGTTTCCTGAGGCTAAAAGTCCATAAAGAGAGATAAGTTAAAAAAAAAATCAAAATCTTTACAGAATCCTCAGTTTCATGACAGAGACCTGACAATTCTCCAGTCTTGCTCAAATTCCTCCCAGAGATACTTATTCAGAGTAGGAGACAGTCACTCTTGAAGGGCAAAGCTGAACTCTGAAAAACAAAAGGCTCTCCGAGCACACTATCGGTTAGAAGCTGTCTCAGGCTCTCTGATCCTGGGGTTCCTCCTTGGCTCAAACTGGGGATCCTTCAGTACCGCAGGGACACTCAAGGGGGACAGTGGGCTTGCACCAAGTCCACAGATTCATTTCCTCAGGTGTTCCTGAGAGTAGCCTCAACTTCATCCTTGGAGGATAGTCCTCATCCCCAAATACTGCCTTAATACTTGGTAACAGGGAGGCTGGAATTCAGGGCTAGCGTCTCACCATTACTATTCAGGGTCTTCATGATAACTTCCATCTGGGCAAATTCATAGTTATAATCTGGTTCTGAGGAAGCCTCACTGGCCGCATCCACGTCATGCTCTGCGGGACTTGTTTCCTTCTCCAAGTCTCTCAACCAATCTCGTCGTTTCCTCTTCGGTAAGTTAATTCTGTGTGGGTGTTCACCATTAGAGAAAATCAACTTATTTGCACGTCACTAGATAAAGTGGAAAAAAATGCTATGCAAGTACAAGAGCACGTGAAGATGTTACCTAAAAAAGTGATTATTCCCCCACAGGATCCTGTCCCCATGCCACAGCTGGGTAACGCTGCACACAAGGGTACCATTCACACAGGACCTGAAGGAACACAAAGGAAAACATCAGGAACAAGAAAGGGCATGAAACTCTGCTCTGGCACTCAGAGACAACTAAAGAGCTTTCACTTCATAGACGTATCTCAACTAATACCTGCAGGAATAATGATTTGTACACTGTAACAACAGTCTATGCCATGATGTCATTGATGGCCACCCCACTAAGACCTAACATGATGCGCTCTATTCTGATGGAGATGGAAAATGTCACCAAAGGGAAAGCTGGTCAAATTTTGTAAAAATCAAAAGACATACATTCAAGGAAGAGCTCATCACAATAAAGGAGGTTTTGATGGTAAGTTAGAAACAAACTATTGGGGGAACAGTCTGTTAATTAAAGGTAAATTTGTTAGAAGGTAAAGTTTGATGGAGGAAAATAATGGATATTATTTTGACTTCTAATTTTTCCAGTAAGTTATATCTATAGTCGTGTTATCTGAGTTCCTGAGCTCTATAAGACTCTAAAGCTCAGAGTTGTACTGTAAGTGAGCACTGGAACTCATGTAATGAAAATCATCACTCCTTTATAGCAGTAGTTCAACTCTGACAACAAAGGTCTTTATTAATAATAAGAGTTAGAGGCTTCTAAATGTGGTTTTACTATTGTATAAAAAGAAAGCAAACCTCATCGAGATCTAGTGTATCCTGAACTTTGATGTAACTGAAGGAAAAAAAAAACCTACGAAGAGGTAGCTTCCTCTTTCTGAAAAGAAGGCACAAAAGGAATGTGAAGTTGCTGCTTATTTCTCCTACCTTGCATTTTCTTTCGGAGTCAGAGTGACATCTCCATCAGAAGCAATATCAATCTCACAGTGCTCAGGTTGAATCCCTATACCAAAGAGCTGGATATCCTGAGAGGTATCTGCACCCACTCTGGTGTGATCCTAACAATACAATTTTAAAGAAAAAAGAAAACCCCAGACTTACAAGTAAGTCAATGAAATCTGATCACAATCATTCTGAATAACCTAACAAGATATACATGACAATATATAAAAAAGAATCATACTAGTGCTTGCCTAGTATGCATGAAGCCCTGGGTTCAATTCCTCAATACCACATAAACAGAAAAAGCCAGAAGTGGTGTTGTGGCTCAAATGGTAGAATGCTAGCCTCAAGCAAAAGAAGTTCAGGGACAGTGCCCAGGCCCTGAGTTCAAGGCCCACGACTGCCCCCCCCCCAAAAAAAGAATCATGCTAGAGATCTGCATCATTAGAATTCAAAAGCTTACCCTTAACACACTTAACTTAAGTAACAACAACAACAACATATGAGTGCTGTGGCTGTGCAGATTAGTGCAACTAAAGTACTTACACCCCAAACACACAAGTATCACTACAACCAGTGACCTAGTCACTGTTCATCCACCCCTCGTTAATCTATTGCTTCACAACAGTTAACCAGTCTTTTCTGTTGCATAGAGAATAGTATTTCCCTAATTATATTTTCCTATGCAACAGAGAAGACTTGGTCTTCTAAAATTAAGATTTTGAGAAAGTATTTCTTCACTCTAATTGTTTCCTAAATGAACAAATCTTAAGATGGTTCATGGACTCTCAAAAAGTCACGGGCTATTTGTACCATATTTAATCTGGGAAAAATAGAACAGAAAAGATCACAGCAGATTGAAGTCCTGTACTTAATTAACTCTAGTTCATTCTCCACTGCATTTTATATATTCCTGGGAAAGATCAGGATCTTGAACAAAGTGATGTCCATGAAACCTTTCGTAAGTAGGTAATTCACATTTAAGTATGTGGACAGTATATATAAACTACCTTCAAGGCCACAGTCCCTAAACCTTCCAACTTCCATGTAATTTCTACATACTACCATAACCTTGTGAGTGTATGAGTATGAGTGTGTATGTGTGTGTGGTTAGATATGCCTTCTCTAATGGTCAATTGGATGCCCTATATTATTTTCAATCCTAGGTCTTGTTTGAGATGTCTTACTGCTTACTGACAAAGTAACCAGCAGTTACTAAAGGACTGTCTGGCAATCTGACATTTCTGAAACCTTTAGAAAGGCCCAAGAAGTCAAAACTACTTTAATAAAAATAGTAAGATGCCATTTGCCTCTGCTCTGTCATACTGCATGCATAGTGGATGTGTGATGCTGTAGTTCTTTTGAAGTCAAATTAATTTCAAACTGTCTGCAGTCTTAAGCACTAATGCAATTAACATAGAACAGATAGTTCTTTGGAATCCTGGACTCTTCTTAAGAGTGTGAGTAGGTTCTAGAGCCAGGGACTGTGGCAATAACCTATCCAACATGGTCAGTGCATAATGAGGCCAAAGTAACGACTGCAAGAGGTGATTTAGAAGGCAACAGTCCTTTCTTCAAGACCTAAGTCTAAAGAAGACAGGCTTGGAAGAGCTAGCATGTCTACTTTAGTTACTGGACCTTTGTAAGCACATGTGGCTCTTTAGATCTCTTACATAACTGAGAGCCTCCAGAGCTTCTCAGGTTGGCTGAACCCAGAGTCTCAGAACCTGTGTCACCTCACATTTGGAGCTTTCTTCTTCTCTTTTTTCTTTGTCTTTTTCTTTTTGTCAATCACAGGGCTTGAGCTCAGGGTCTGGGTGCTGTCCCTGAGCTTTTTTGGTCAAGGCTAGCACTCTACCACTTGGAGCCACAGTGCCTCTTATGGTTTTCTGGTGTTTACTTTGAGATAAAGAGTCTCATAGAGGTTCCTGTCCCAGCTGGCTTCAAACCACAGATCTCAGCCTTCCGAGTATCTAGGATTACAGACGTGAGCCACTGGCACTTGCACATTTGGGGCTTGCTGTATGTGAGGATCACCTGGACACTATCCGTTGGCCATCTGCATCCCTCTGATGCCTGCATTCCCAGGAAATCTACCCCAATTGCCAGGCTCAGGTGCAACTGGAGTTTTTCACTGTCAATGGTAAAAGTCTATATTATCCTTTGTTTCACTTTTTTTGGTACCAGTTCTGAGGCTTGAACTCAGGGCCTAAGCACTGTCCCTCAGCTTTTGTCCTCAAGACTAGCACTCTACCACTTGAGCCAGAAGCTCCACTTCTGGTTTCTGGGTAGTTCATTGGAAGTAAGAGTGCCCTTGTCTCCCACCTGTAATCCTAAGTAGCTAGGATTACAGGTGGGAGACAATGGCACCTATTTTCATTTTTAAAAAAAATTTTTATTTTGTCAGTCATGGGGCTTGAACTCAGGGCTTAGTAGCTGTCCCTGAGCTCTTTTCTTTGAGCTACAGTGTCATTTCCATTTTTCTTGAGGTTAACTGGAGGTAAGAGTCTTGTGGCCTTTCCTGCCAATGCTGGCTCTGAACCATAATCCTAAGAGTTCAGCCTCTTGAGCAGCTAGCATTCCAGGCGTGAACCACCAGTGCCTGGCCTTTGTTTTACGATTGCCAGTTGTGATGGATTTAAAAAAAACAAGATCATGGAGAGAGGCATCTAGGTTCAACTGGGAATATTATGTGAATGATTCAGGACTGCAGCTCTGTCTACTTATACACTCTCTCACCTTTAAGTAATAAACCAAAAGTTCATTGAGAGCAGGATCTGCATTCAGGTTGACCAAGTAGCACTTATCATCCCCCACTTTGATTCCAGAGGTCTCCAGAGAAATCCCCATGCTCTCAAGCTGTCGTTGTCTCTCCTGGGCACAAAAATAGACAAAAGCAGGGAACTGTTATTTGTTGCTCTATTCACAAGATGTATCCATGGAAAGAGTAAGTCACTGTTTCTGGGGACAATGCCAATGAGATGACACATTCTACTCAGCTCAACCAAGTTTACTGAGAGCCTGCAGGATCTGACATCTTAGGAAAGTCACAGGAGAACAAAGGGGGAGCCAGATACCATCTCAGCCATTAAGGAGGGTAAGAGTCTCACACAGAGAGTAAGACCATAGAATCAGAATTCAAACGAAGAGAGAACACTATGCCATGAAGGAAGACAGAGAGCTGAAGGACTTCAAAGGGTGAAAATCATGAAGGGTTATGAGATCAAAGGAGGCTGTAGAAAGAGTGTATAGTTGAATTGCAACAAGAAGTGAGTGTGTAGTAAGAAAAATATAAGGTGTATAGCAGTGTACATAGGGAATCTCACAGCACAAGCTCTAGTAGATGATTTGAGGAGCTAAGAACATATAGCAAATAGGGGAAGGCAACGAGGGGCTGGTGGCTCACATCTGTAACCCTAGCTACTCAGGAGGCTGAGATCTGAGGATCATGGCTTAAAGCCTGTCCAGGCAAGAAGGTCTGTGAGACTCTTATTTCCAATTAACCACAAGAAATCCAGAAATGGTGCTGTGGCCCAAAGTGGTAGAGCACTAGCCTTGAGGAAAAGAGCTGAGGAATAGCACCCAGGCTCTGAGTTCAAGCCCCAGGTCTGACATAGAAAGAGAGAAAGAGAGAGAGGGAAGGAGGGTGGGGAGGGGAGAAGGCAGTGGGAAATGGTTAAAAGAGCAGGTTGGCAACCTATAGTTGAATGCCATGAATTCATACATTCCTTCATTCAACAAACATTTGTTCAAGAATTATTTAATAGAATCTACAATGTAGTAGGTCCCGATCTAGGGCTAGGGATACAATAGTGAATAAAACTTAAGTCCCTCCTTTCATGAGAATATTCATTCTAATGACAGGAAACAGACCATAAAAACAGATACGTTGTAAGTAGACTCCCTAATGGTGTCAGGTACTATGGAAAACCCTAAAGCAATAGAAGAGGGAGAGTGTGTGTGTATTTGTTATCTGTAAGAATCACCTGGGGGAGAGGAAGGAGTTGGGGAGGTAGGGAGGGAAGGGATGGTAGGGGAAAAACAAAGGAGGAGGTAACAATGCTTGATAGGAAATGTACTCATTACCTTACTCATGTAACTGTAACCCCTCTGTATATTATCTCTATAATAAAAAATATATACTAAAAACAATCATATAAGCAGAAATAGGACCAAAGTGCACTGACTACTTTTTAGTTAATTGAGAGGGATGGTCCAATATTTCCAAGCCATCAGTAGAATTAAAATGTTCATGAAATGCATGCTAAATAGAGAGATATAACATACTCTCACACCACTGTAGAATTAGTCCTTAATTTATATTTTATTAAAGCTCTTATAGTACCTTCTAATAAGCCCAAAGTATCAAACACACTGAAACAGTGCTATTGTAGTATATGTCATGAATTCTCTGCCAGTAAAAACTGTCAATCTTGTGTACTGTCAAGTGATCTAACATCACAAAATGGATTTTGCCTGTTCAAGCACAACACTACTGACCACTTCTGACAATACACAGAACAAACTATAAACTGATAAAAGACACAAAGTCAGTGTCTAAACTGATCCGTGCTGTCTCTGGGTCAGCAGAAGGAAAGACATTTTGACGATGGCAGGAGATGGTATAGAAAAGACAACATGAAGGAGAATCACAGTACTTCAAGCTCAATGTATCAGGTTACCTGTGCAATCTCTTCTGTTCTCCTGAGCTTCTCTTCCCATGTCACTGTTAGCTCTTTTATCAGCTTTTCAGACTCTTCAAGCTTCTCCTTCAGTTCTGGAGCCTTCATGGCCTTTAAAACAAAACCAGAGCATTTGACTTTCAAAATTGTTGCAGCATTATACGTGAGACACATACCTACATAACAGACATATGCCCTTCATAACCAAGTATCAGTCTATCGGAAGCAATTATTGCACACACTGTTAGCAGACTTTAGACCTCTAGTAATCTCACCTGTCTCAAGGAGAAAAATACTATTGCCACAAATGACAATGAGACAAATGGTAACAAAGTCATTGTATGAATCATAGTTAAGTACCACATTTAAAGACTAAAAGGATGCTAAAGTTCATCTTTGAAATATCAAGGGAGGGAAAAATAAAGGTTTCTTAAGAAGACTTTTTTCAGTAAGACAGAGATCAATGCATACCACCAATAAACACATTCTAAGCTGGGCACCATTGGCTCACGCCAGTAATTCTGGCTGCTAAGGAGGCTGAGATCTCAGGATTGTGGTAAAACAAGCTAGGGCAAGAATATTTATGAGACCTTCATCTTCAGTTAAGCACCAAAATTCTGGAAGTAGATCTCTGGCTCAAGCGGTAGAGGGCTAGCTTTGAGCAACAAAGCTGAGACACAGTGCTCAGGCCCTGAGTTCAGGCCCTAGGACTGGCACAAAACAAAACAAACGAAACAAGATATTTCCTAATATTAACAAGTTAAAAGATTCTTTTCATTTACTTTAAAATTAGGAGCATTTTAACATACTCTTCTGCGAGAATGATGATACATTTGGTTGTATTTATCTATCATCAGAAAGCAGGAATGTTGGTTTGTTCAATAAGAATGACTACAGAATCTAAATATATGTACTTGTAATTAAAAAAAAAAATTGAGGGGAAGCTGGGCACGAGTAACTCACACCTATTTGAAAGGCCAAGACCAGAAAAGGCAGAAGAATCTATGAGACTCTACCTTCAAAATAATCAGAAAAATGCCAGGCTGGAGGTGTGGTTCAAATGATAAAGCATCAGCTCTGAGCAAGCAAGCCAAGTGAGGGAACTTTATATGACAGTGCTTTGCTTTGACACCCTAAGTTATTGTGAGCGTCTACAGAGGAAAGCTCCATAAGCAAGAAAGATGAGAGAGCTTAGACTAGAAGCTGGAATGGTGATGATCTGGAGCTGGCTGAGTACTCAGAGCCTGAGTGACATTTAGTGCTGAATACACATCTAGAGTTCCAGGTAGAACCATGTGGTTTCCCTTCTCTTTCCCTTGGCCAGATGCTTCCTAGCCACATGGTCTAGGTAATATGGTAACCGTGGAAGTGTAAACTCAGGAACAGGAAGCAGGCAGATCGTCTACCAATGAATTTCAGAACCATTACACTTTCCTTCTGGGGTTACAACTCTTTAAACTTTATCAGCATTTTGATTTTTCTGGAATCTTTCAAACTCTTCTTAGCATCGAGAGAGATATAACCTTTAAGGCAAAATAAAACCTAACTTTTCCTGAACACTTACTAATATATAAGACATTTAGGGAAGCATTTTCCAACCATGTTTTTAATCATCGTTGGGTTAGGGGTTGGAGATGAAAACATTAATAAAACATGGCTTCCTGTGCTTTGAGAACCCACAGTGCAGAAGACAGAGATGTGAACAAAAAGGTAGGAAGTACCTGCTCATTAAAGGCCATTACTCCTCCCCCACCCATTAGAGTGGAGTCAGAAGAGAGTGATGTGAAAAATATGAACTTAGAAATATCAGGTACAAAGGATGGAGTTGTGGATCAGTGTTAAGATCACCTGTCTAGCAAGTATGAGGCCTTGAGTTCAAACCCTTTTACCACCAAAAGAAGAAAAAGAAGTATCAGGTCAGGTCCACACCTAAGTCCTGGCCCAGGGCAGCAGGTGACTTCAGCTAAGGCTCTTTACCTCTAGCTCAGAACTCATACCTATTTCAAATGAAACACTACCTTATCCAACACTTATTTGGAGGACTATGTGGATATTAAATCTGAGGAACAATGTTTAATATCCATGACTTAACAAGGCAATGATTCCCAACTCCTCTGAAAACTGCAAGGCTCTGTGGAAACACAGCCTTTACAATGTTAATAAAACTTGGTTCTGAGGATTATACATTTGAAGTTCAAGGGTCCACTGCTTTAGAGAAGCAAACAAATTTGGTAGTAGCAGGAATGATCTCATTTGCCTCCTTGTCTGAAAGGTGCTAGGACAGGACCCCTGTGTTATTCATGGTGACAATTCACAATGCTTATGAGCAGAGTCTATGACAATAACATCAGAATGTTGACTCAGAAGGAGATGATGGAGCATTGCATGCAAGCATGACCTCGCTTGGGGGTAAGGGGGCAGGGAGGGAGAGCAGGGATGGGAAGAGGAAACAAAGGAGGATGCAACAATGCTTGGTAAGAAATGCACTCATTACTTTGCTCATGTAACTGTAACCCCTCTGTATGGTATTTTCACAATAAAAATAATTAATAATTTTTTAAAAAGAAGGTATTGGCCTAAAAACAACCAGAAAAATTAAACTAGGTTAACTGTTAAAAAAAAAAAAAAGAAATATCAAGTTAAGGAACTTCAACGAGAGGGTGCCTGTGTTGGTCTCACCTCAGCCTGGCAGAGCTGCTCTCTGAGTTTCTCTACTTCCTCCCGCAGCTCCCGGATGACTTTGGCATTGGGGTCCTCATTCACGACTGCATGGTTCACAATCCTTTTGGCTCGGTCTGCGTATCTTAGTGTGGAGAGGGTCTCCTCATAGTTGTCTGCTGCTGGGCTGATGGTAGCTATCATAGAAGTCTGGCTGTTGCCTCCCAAGTTGTCCTGGAAAACATTTCAAACAGCATCTTAGGGAAGACCATTGGATGGGAGCAATAAATCTGCACAAATGACATTGCTCTCCATGAGGAAACAGGTTCGCATTGCACAGATAATGTGATGACAGGAAGAAATGTGACCGATTTATTCAAAGCTAGGACTGACTGACACCTGTCAAACAACACTGTAGTAGGATGAAAAGCAAGAGGCAACTGAGCATTCTGGTGACTGGGAATTTGGCTGAAAGTATGCATTTGGCTAGCTTGACACACACCTCTTCTCTGGTCACAACGGATATAGCCAGTTTTCAACTGGCAAAGAACAGCAGAGCAACAACGACAACAACTTACCTTAAGAAGCCAAGTGAGGACTGAATCTCGATAAGGCACAAACTTGTTTTTTCCCTTGCCAGCTGCCTGGTCGGCCAGTGATGATATAACCAACCCCAAGGTTGTAAGGGACCTGCCAAGAGAAACAGAATGTTCATTCTATGGAATGTCTTATTTTCCTTTCATAACACAACGGTTCTTCTAGATAACAAGTTTAAAATACACAGAACAATAAGGCCCTAAAGTCGGCATCACCAAATCTTCATCCACATGCCAAAAAGCCAGGAAGAGGAAAAATAAAAAAAAGAACTCAAATGGGAGGAGAGGAGGGAGGAAGGGAGAGAGAAAGAGAAAATTTAGACTCCCCATACGAAAAGTCCTTCTCTGTACCTGGAGAGGAGAGTTGTACTGAGGGGTGAGGGATATCCTGTTGGGGTACAGTTAAGTGCTTACTGCTTTTAAAATAGGGCTGCTTAGGCTACCCTCAAACTCAAGATCTTCCTGTCTCAGCCTCCCAAGGATCTAGATTGGAGTAATGTCTCAGTGTACTGAGTTCAAAAAGTACGTTTTATTTATTTTTTATGTATTTATTTTTTTGGGTCCGGTGGTGGGGCCTGAACTCTGGGCCTGGGCACTGTCCCTCAGCTCTTCAGCTCAAGGCTAGCGCTCTACCACTTGAGCCACAGCACCACTTCCGGCTTTTTTCTTTTTGCTTATGTGGTGCTGAGGAATTGAACCCAGGGCCTCGAGCATGCAAGGCAAGTGCTCTACCACTGAGCCACCTTCCCAGCCCCAAAAAGTACGTTTTAAAGGAAATCAATTGGACCACAAAATTAGCCATCAAAAAACAGAGGCCTAAGCAGATCTCACAGGATTGCAAGGAGGGTTGCATGATACCACATAGCAGATTATTTAAAAAGCTAAGTGTTGGGGTCGGAGGCATGATACCAGCCAATGAGCAAAAGCATCAAGTTCTATTTAGTCTTAGTCAAAAGAAAAAAAAAAGGTTACTATTTTAGGAAGCCCCTCCTCTTTAGAACTTTTACCATGAGCTCTTGGGTAGGGTAGGGAGTGAAGAGGACTGGAGAGGAAGGAAGAAAGTCGGGTTAGTAGGTAACATTTATAAACATATAACCATGGTTTTTTTTTTTTGTTTTTATACGCTTTGGTGGTCTGAGGATAAATCTAGAGCTTCATACATGCTTTAGGGATTCTACCACCAAGTAACTAACACCACTGCCCGTCATGTATAACTGTTTTTGTTTTGTTTTGTTTTGTTTTTTCAAAAAAAAATGGATCCTACTGAACACTGTTCTTGGGAATCTTAACATATGCTGCACTTGGACTTCTGTTATCATTAAGTTTGGCAATGATGATCTGGAAGTTGCATAGTCTTCATTCTTGCAGGACTTCTCAGAGCTCTCAGTACTGTGACTCTCCAAAAACTGGTTTTGATAAATGAGTTCCTCACAATTACTTGTCCAGGGATTCTTTTAGCTCCCAGAACCACTCCCTTTGAGTGTTTCATAGGAATCTTTGGGAAACATGAAGGTAACCCCCTGTCACACACCACAAAAAGATGTGGCTACTGTATCTCAAGATTTTTTTTTTTACTGTCCTTTCTAGGACTCTCATGTTAAATACAAAGACATCTATCTAGGATTTTTATTGTTGTTTTAATTGCTTTTAACCCCTTCCCACATGCTTGGACCCTACAATGAACTACTTGTAATAAATAACCACTATCTACCATTGAATAATGGACAGAAGATGGCCATTTTCTTTCTTCCTCAATACAAATTTGTATTTAGTTATTCAGATAATAAAGAAAAATTTTTGAGAGGAAATGAACATGAGCCAAGACAAGTATTCAAGAAGACAAAGAGAAAAGGAAGACAACAGTGGAGGTCAGGCTGGGCCTGTTGCAGGTTACTCTATATTGCACAGGTTGAAGCTGATCCTTAAAATGAGTGACTCCATTTTGTAAAATAGTAGGTTATGTCATTTTTGACTGCAAATGCTGGGGGAATAATGACTCTATATCCTGTTTGTACAATTACCATCTGTCTAGCACAAAGCACAGGGGAAGCTGTTTATCCACATAAAATATGATCACTCGTCTACTTGGGAGTTGGAGATCAATAGTATTGGGGTTCAAGGCCAGCCCAAGTAAAAAGTTCCTGAGATCTCATTTCAACCAACAGCTGGGCTTGGTGGTATATACCTTCCATTAACTATATATTCATTCTACTAAGGTAAGAAATATACATAGGAGGCTCAAGGTTCAGGGCACAAGGAAAGACGCTATCTCAAAATTAACCAGAGCAAATGGTAAAGGGTCTGCCTAGTACTTGAGTGCAAACCTCAGTACAGTTAAAAAGAAAATTACCTACAAATGTATCCAATTCCATCAGAATTACAAAGACATATGGGACAAATCCATAACACATACCAGACCAAAGAATGATGCAACCTTCTCACCAGGATCATCTAAAAAGAAGGGACCTAACTCTGGGACTATGGTAGCTTCATACCTGGAGCATGCCAGCACTACGCCTTGAACCATCACTGCTCTGCTTTTGGATATCCCTGTGCCCAAACAACTGTGATGGGGTTATATTAGTACCTTATCTAACCATTTGAAGGATTCTTCTTGCATCTGTATCAGCTCTCTATTGAAGTTTACAGCTGGCAGGCACCTCTGAACTCTTAATACCTTTAACCCTTTTTTCACCATTCTGTAGATTATATACCTTAGTGAAGTATAATGTGTGATCTGAGAGTTAATATTAGTGATTAAGATTGGAAAAGATTCTGTTTGTCTAATGGCTCACAACTACCAAGTGAAATCAAAAGTACTTGGTGAATGAATGCCCACAAAATTGATACGGCTTGAATTTACTGTGATTCAACATATTCTGACAATGTGGAAAGACGTGAATGTGTCTGTATCTGACACAGCTCACTTGTCACAACAGTATCCCATAGATATTAGAAAAAATAAGCTTATAGGCTGCCGTAATGAATCATGTGACACCATCCTGGAAGGAATGCATATGAATATTCCTGGAGTAAGTGTTCAGTCAAACTCATTTTTGAAAATGCTAACACATACTTTACTATTAACCACTGAAACTGAGATGGAAATCACACTCATTAGATGACTACTGTTTGTGTTTAGTGACTGGCCTCCTTGAGAAAGAATGTCTGGCTTTAGAGAGAGTGTTCATGAGCTACATGAATGTACAGAGAAGCTAAAACAGGCAGACTCCAGCAGTTGGTAAAAGGCTTTTTCCCCCTTTCCCCACCTTTAGTAGATGAGTGGACAGCAACTAGCTCTTTCAGATAGATTCACTGTGACAGCGTCTACAGATCTACACTGCGTGGCCCAGTGCATTCACTGGCAATGCAAACATGCAGCACCTTCACTCTTCAAAAGAAACGGGTACCGTATGCTTTAAAGCTCTTAAGAGCTTGGGGAGAGATGAGCCCTTAAATCCATAGCCCATTAAGCAGACACTGAGGGCTGTGTGATGTCACTGACAGGTCTGCTTAAAGGGATTATTAATGTTCTATCCAAAGAAGCCTAGCCAGGAGGCTGAGAGAGAGAGAGCTTAAGAAACATGTCGATTTCTTTAATTTCAGCATTCAACTGGGCACTGATTATAAGGTGTAGAAAGCCATTTGTGGAACGGTTAGGCAATCGTTTCGAATTATTATTTCATTAGCACAGTTTCCTATGTGCTGGACCTACTCTAAGTACTTTAGAGAAAGCAACTAATTTTGTCCTCATAATAATCCTACTCATTAGCTGTTTCCTTTATAAATGTATAAACTGAGGCACAGAAAGGTCACATAGCTGAAGAAACTGCCAAGAACCTGCAGTGTCTCCTCTGGAAAGCCCTCCCTGACCCCTCAGTACTGCTATACATCCCTTCCCTCTGCTTCCACTGCACTCTGTGCAAGTTTCTGTAGCCATCGTATTAGTCCAACTGTCCCAAAAATAGTCCTCCCCCACTTCTGGAAGCCAGGTCCCACCATACTCATATCCCTGTGTTCTTGCCTACTCAGAGGTCAAAACATATTTATTAAACTGGATCAAAAATGTACAAGTCCATATCTATATTTGAAATACAGTACAAGTCCCTATCTATATCTGAAATCCTTGTGGTCATGTGTCTTGGAATTTAGAATACTTTGGACTTTAGAAAGCTAAAGTGGTGTGTACACTATAGACCTCAGATACAAGTGAGGAAAGAGGGGCATATTGAGGGAAAATCCATTCAGCTCCCAGAGACTACTAAATAAAGGAGCTAGTTGATGAGGGATCTGAGTTACAGACAGGACATAATTTAGAACAGAACTTTAAACAAGCACCATTAGTTAGGCTGGGAATGTGCCTTAGTGGTAGAGTGCTTACCTAGCATGCATGACGCAGTGGGTTCAATTCTTCAGTACCACATAATCAAAAAATAAACATTTTCTTTAAAAGCACCGTTAGTATTTATGCTGAGACAAAAATATCAGACTTTTCCAGGTAAAAAGAATCAGTAGCCTTGTACAGTTTAGTGGTTAAGCCTGGGCTTTTTTTTTTTTTTTTTTGAGCCTGTATGCATCCAAATACAAGATCCACACTTGGAGCATAATAGTCTGATACATTAGTTAAGACCCTGCCTTGGTTTCCTTATCTACAAAATGAAGAGAAGAGACCCATGCATGCCACAGTGCTGATAGGAAGATCAGCTGTGCTGACACTAAAGAATGCTCAACAAAAAACACTGTCATTCTACATAACAGGCAGCCATACCACATTCTTTATCTTTGTCACTAGTCCTCTGAAAATGCAAGGGCTTGGCATTGCTGAGCTCTAGTAACTGAACCTCTCGCAAAGGTGATATTCTTTGCATTGATATCAACTCCCTCATACCCCTATTTCTGCATGCCTGTCCTATTTCCTGAGCTCTTATGGAACAGAGCTACAGTACCAGCCTGGAATCTTGCAATGCCTCGTCATGAAATACAGCAAAATCCCTTGTTATTAGAGCAGGAGACAGGATGACTGGAAGATTAGCTCCCTAAAGTAGCAGCCTTTCCCAGTGTGTGAGGCCACGTCTGCAGCATTTCACCTCTAATGTTTAAACTTTCACACGCTAAAATCACACCATGCCAGCAACATTTTAAAATACAAGCTGCACAAACATGTTCTTGAATGTATTTCCTCTTGTCACATTCCCTAAGTAAGACATCAAGTTATTAAAGCTCAACAGAAAAAGATAACAAGTATAGAGCAAACTATTTTCTGCTGAACTTGGAGTCATGATAGTGATTATGATCATTACAGAAATTATTATAACAATTAGTATTTACTCAGGGTATACTACATGCCAGGCATTGTTCTAAAGGCATTCAGTCCAACAATTCTAGGAAGCAGATACTATTATCATCTTCATTTTATAGATGAGAAAAACGAGACACAGAGTTACAGTTTTTGCCCATAGAACACATATCTACTAAGTGCTAAAGGCAGGGGTAAAAGCCAGGCAGTCTGTCCAGGGTGTATTTTTTTTTCCATACAAATTCTGCTTCCTCTCAAGTTGGAAAGCTAAGAGATTTTCTCTTGCAGATCAGGAGCCATACCATCGATATATATGCCACATGTACCAAGGCTGCATCCGCCATGCCCAGTCTGTACATCCAGTCATTTCCTTCCTGCCTTTGCAGCTTCTGCTACATGGAGAAACTGAATCTTTCTCTGTGTCTCTGGGGGAATCTCTGACTCATCTTTCACTACTCTTCTCTTTCAGACTTAACTACAGCACAAGGCACACTGCACGCAGTCAAGGCAAACAGCAAGATTCCAAGTGTGAGACAGACTGCAAGATTCAATAACTGTTAAATTTTTCCTACATTACTGATAGTTAAACAGCATTAGCCTGACAAAAGGACTGAAAGCAGGAGAAGCTCCCTAAGTTAACATTTAAGATGGGATTTGATTTATGAAACTGTGATTTACATTTTACCTACTGCTACACTGTAGACACTCCTTTATTTTTTATTTTTACTGATTGATTGATGGATATTGGTACGAGGACTTGAACTCAGGGCCTGAAGTTCTCAATCAGCTTTCTCGCTCAAGATGGCAGTCTATCCCTTGAGCTATGCCTCTAGCCTGGATTTTATTCTTGTTAACCAGAGATGGAGCCTCAGGGACTTTTCTGCCCAGCCTGGCTTTGAATTGTAACACTCAGGTTTTTGCCTCTTGAATAGCTAGTATTATGGTCTTGAGACATCAGTGCCCAGTTAAATAGTCCTTAATTTACAGGAGTTAGCTCTTGATAAACTTATTCGAAGATGGAAACAATGAGAATTAAAAAAAAAAGCATGGAAAAGGCCAAACATCCAGTTCAGCAAGATGGCATACTGTAGACTACTGGGTTTTTTCTTCCATGACTAAGTTGCTGACTGGGAGCTTTGGTCTATCTACTGTCCACTGCCCAGTTCCATTAGGCAAGATCTGATTACAAGCTGAGATAGCCTAGAATAAATGTCCAAACTCAAAATCTGAAGTACAGTTTCTACTGAATGCAGGTTGCTATTGAACTACCACAAAGTAAAAAACAAACAAAACCCTTACATTGAACCTCTTAGAGTTGGGGACCGTCTGTGTATAATACACATAGGTGCCTGTATCACTGTGGGGTAGGGGCACACTGCAGAGCTTTCCATGGCTGCACCTGAATAGAGGTGCATGCTGTTTTACTTCAATCCAGCTTCCTAAAGTGACACACGTTCTTAGAATATATTTTCATCAGAACCCTCTGCAACAATCCCACTACATGAGAAAGAAGCCAAGATTACAAAAAAATTCCACTCATCCCGATCTTCCCCAGGTCCTTACTTGTTAATGTTGCTGCCTTCTTTCAGTCGCTCCCCCGCCGCTCCTGTCTTGGAAACTCTTTCACTCCCCGCCAGATCTACCAGGCTGACCTTACTGACTTTCTCTCCCGAGTTCTAGGTGCAGAGAACAAGAGAGAGAGAAATGATCCATGTAAATGCAAAACCAAGTGGACATCTACACAGAGATGGGGGCTGTGAGAACAGAAGCCATCTCACTCCAACAAGTATCGTAGGAGTTCAAATGGTCCAGAGAGTTATGTGTATTAGCAATTAATTTCATCATCAAATTTAAACTGATGTGAAAATGCAAGTGATGTGTTCTCTAGGTAGAAAATGAGTACAGTCAGCATTCCAGAACATAGTCTAAAAGCTGGTGCCTATGAAGAAATACTAGCATCTAATGTGATTTTCATAACAACCTTCCACAACCATGACATAGATTTAGTTGTTTTCTGGCTCATCTAGTAAGTAGGCGCAAAGTAAGATTTCCGGCCTCTGAATCCACACCTGAAACACGTCCTCTATGGAGACCCTCTGAGTTCTCCCCACCTCCACAGGTTCTGACCATTCCCTCACCCCAGATTGCAGGTCATAAAGTGTCTGGGTGATTATGATGTTGAACACAGCATGGGAGCGGCTGCTTTCTTCGTTCATGTTAGTGGCAGCCACAGTTCGAGACTTGTTTCCCTCAGACATCAATGACTCAATATCCTAGAGGCAAAGCATCAAGAAAACACCATTAACAAAATGTAACAACACAGTTCTGCAAACAGGTGTGCGCATTCAGTACAGTACCTCTCAGCCTTGCTCACAGCCCTCCATGAAAACCTTCCTGTCTCTCCCTCATAGAGTGCGGCTTGAGCTCCCACCCCTGACAGCTTCCATGTATACGAAGGTCAACCACAATTCTTTCTACTGAACAGCTGTCCTTTTTCCCTGTTAAGACTTTGACTTCTTGATAAGCTTCCAGGAGAGCTAGTGTTCACCAAGTATTCCAGATATACAAGAACAGTAGTTACCTTATTTAATGCTAACTTTCCTTTTTGTTGTTGTTGTTGGTCATGGGGCTTGAACTCTGGGCTTGGGTGCTATCCCTCAGCTCTTCAGCTGTAAGCAAGTGCGATACGGCTTAAGCTACAGCACTACTTCTTAATGCTAACTTTCCTAAGTCTATCAGCCTGGAATAGCTTTCTCCCACCTGCTCATCTGCTTCCCTTCTCCAATAAAAGTAGCTTCCTGAAGCCCCTACATTCTTTTTGTACAGTTGTTCCCATTATATATCTGAAGCCATGGGTACTTATGAAATGTTGGCTGAGTGAATCTGTGCTAGTCAGTTTTCCATTGCAGTGAAAACTCTTAAGCAAAATGGCTTAATGGAGGAATGTTTTCTTTGTCTCATGATTTCAGTCCATCATGGCAGGGAGGGTATAATGGAGCTGAGCAGGTCACATCATGGTGGACAGGAAGTACAGAGAGTAAGATAAGGTCTGCTAGTGGACATTCTCCTTTTTCTGCTTTATTCCATTTGAGACCTCAGTGCATGGGTGATGCTGCCTGTATTCAAGGAGAGTCTTCCCCTTTTTGGCTAATACTCTTTAGAAATGTGCTCAGAGAGACACATATTGGTGTCCTTTACTAATCTCAGATTCTACTTACTCCAGTCAAGTTGACAATCAAGCTTAGCCATTCCAGACCCTTATTAATGAAGTAATTTTCCAGGTTTTACATGAAAGAAGCTTAATTTCATGGTGGTCAAATAAGTTTTTCCCCCTATCAAATCAGAGGCAAAACCTGAATGCAAAGGAAGAGCTGCTTGGCTCTTACAAGTAAGTGACAGAGTGACATGGACACTGCCATCAGTTCCACTGTGCTGGGAGCCAGGCACATTAGTGAAGGTGCTGACTTAACACCTTTAGATCAGCAAATGTTCCATTCAGAATCTCAATGTTTTTAAAGCAAATGTTCCATTCAGAATCTCAATGCTTTTAAAGTGATAACTGGGTCTTATTTTTAAGTTGAGAAACACATATGCATATTTTTATTTAAGTCAGCTTAGGTTAATTTTAGTCATACTAAATCTAAGGCGATTATGGGTCAGTTACATTCTTTAGATAGCACAAGTACTGGGATTTTTTTTCCATTCATTCATTCACTTGCTTGTTCATTCATTTACATTCTTTAGCAACAGAAATAGCAGTTTGTGTATTATGAGATGTCCAAATTGATGACTGTGGAAATAAGAAGAGAACATTGAGTCCTGGCATAAAGATCCAGGGCAGTTAACAGAGAAAGGAGGCTAGAGGTCCTGTCAACAGAAGGGGTTGAATTAACCACCAAATATTGTCACTTAGGAAGAACAGTTTCAATGCAGTGGTAGCAGTAAAAGTTCTTAGCAACCCCAAAATGCTGGGCCTTGGTCCATACTGTAAAACCTTCACAATGAAGCAGCATGTAGAGTGTGATTCAATGCCCTTTCTTACTAAAGTGTAGTAATTTGAGGTCATGGAGTACCAATAAATTATCATGAAGTAACTACATGTAAATATATATCATACCACTTACACATTCTGACTTACTGCCGGGTTGTTTTGCTTTGCTTCTGTGGAAGTGCTGAGGATGGAATCCCAAGCTCTATACATGCAAGTGATTTTATAAAAATGACACTTACCTCAAAACTAGTGACAGCCAGTTGAGATAAGCCATCTACATAAGGTCCCAACACTTTATGCTCTCGAACTTTAAGAGACTGCCTACTCCTATAAGGAGAAGTGTTAAAAAGAATGAATGAATCAGACCAAAGTTGGAAGCTTTTGTTTCTTCTTTAAGCTCAGAAACTATGATATTATAACTTTAAAAGAGTTCTGTGTTGTTGTTGTTGTTGTTTTTAATGATTAAGGAAAAGGGTTCTCTGGGTACTAGTAGCTCATGTCTATAATCCTAGCTACTCAGCAGGCTGAGATCTGAGGATTGTGGTTTAAATCCAGCCAGGTAAGAAAGCCCATGAGAAAGCCCACCAGAAAACCAGAAATGAAGCTGTGACTCAAAGTGGTAGAGTGCTATCCTTGATAGAGAGAAAAAAAAGTCTCAAGGACAGTGAGGCCAGGTCCTGAGTTCAAGCCCTATACCTGACCCAAAAAGAAAAAAAAGGGGGCGAGGGGGAGAAAAAAAGGTTCTAAAAGCTACTTTATTTGGACTAGCAAAATAGCATTCCATATGAGGAATGTTTTTAATATTCTTATTTCTATTTAAAGTAGTGTGCTATTTTTAAAAATTCTATCTCTAGTCCCGAACTAAACGGCCAGTGCACAGCTGGATTGGGCTAACTTGTTTTAATAGATGGACTTCAATTTCAGAGAGAAGAAGAAAGAAAAAAGGAGAAGGAGAGGGAGGAGAAGATGGGAAAAGAAAAGAGAGGTGAGGGGAAGGGAGAAGGATGAAAAGAAGAAAAAAGGAAAAGAAATATTTAAAAAGAAGCATAAAAGGAACAGAAAAAGAAAAGGGAAAAGGAAAGCACATTCTTAGGAAAAATAATGTCATAATTTCTTGAGCAAATACTGAACAATAATAAAGTAATTTTAACTTTACATCTTCAAGTTATACTGATATATGTTGCTTCTATGTGGACAATTTTATATAGAAAAGGAGATTACATGCAACAGTTGTAGCAGCTGATATCTATACTTAGCACTGGCTCTGCTGGTGATGATTTTAGAGCCCCTTTGAATTTTTAAATGGCAACTCTACTTTGGAACCCATCTGAAGTGCTAATCAGACAACTGAGAATACAGGTAAACGTAACCATTCTATATTATGTAGGTCATGTTTTCCATAGCATTGGATTTTAATCATTTTTTGAATTAAGAGACAATGCTTAACATGTCTCAAGTGGAGTGAAAAAGGAACTATAACCATGGAACCCTTCCCAAGGTTTTGGATTGTATCCTAAGCACTCTTGCTTATCTCATTTAATCTCACAACACACAACCAAGTAGGTTTTACTGTGTTTGTGGATGACGAGTTCAATGTGACAATAAGCAGTTTTGTTGGAGTTGAGAAAAGTGCCCGTCTTCAAGATAGAGACTCTGAAGCAGATGGCCCAGAGCTCTTGGCTCACTGTGTCTGCACCACTGAAGATTCTATCACACCATCTACCAGCAAGAAAAAGTGAATGGAACACACTATCAAAGGCTGACAATGGGTTTTAACATCTGGAATTCTTGCCCACTGCTGGTGGGTGTGTAAACTGGTATAAACACTTTACACTGTTTTTATAAAGTCTAGGGCCCCAGTAACTTGCAGTTCCACTCCTAGATGTATTTTCTAAAAACTCCTCCTATAAATCAGGAGACTGACCCAAGAATGCTCAGAACAGTACTGTGATAATGAAAAGCGGAAATCCTAATTATCCTGGAAAAGGGGTAAATTATGGCACAATCATAAATGAGATACTATGTAATTAAAAATCAGTGCATTAGTACTGTAAGAATGAATGGATGGAGCCGGGCGCTGGTGGCTCACGCCTGTAATCCTAGCTACTCAGGAGGCTGAGATCTGAGGATAGCGGTTCAAAGCCAGCCCGAGCAGGAGAGACCGTGAGAATCCTATCTCCAATAAACCACCAGAAAACTGGAAGTGGCGCTGTAGCTCAAGTGGTAGAGTGCTTGCCTTGAGCTGAAGAGCTGAGGGACAGCGCCCAGGCACAGAGTTCAAGCCCCACGACTGACAAAAAAAAAGAATGAATGGATGGGACTGTAGCGTAATGATAAGAGCACTACCTCAACATTTTTCAGTACCTACCACTCAGGTAAAAAATAACTCGGTGTGGTAGTACATGCCTATATACCAGAGGCACCAGTTTGTGGTCAACTAGAGCTACATTGGGGAGCGGAAGAATAAATTATTGGAAGGAAAAAACAAATCACCAAATCTATATACTATGATGTTGCCTATATAAACTTAAAAATTGTGCTAAATGATCTGTAAATGTTGAAGTAAGAGAATGAATTATAAACATGAAATTCCTAACAGCATTTATTTTAGGAAAGAGTAGGGAATAGGGTAAAAATCCAAGAGGAATATATGGGAAGCTTAAAAAACACTGGTCAGGTTCCACAAGTTATGCCAACTAGTGAGTAGACAGTTACTGATTTTTTTTTTCTTGTTGGTCGTGGGGCCTTAACTCTGGGTCTGGGCGCTGTCCCTCAGCTCTTCAGCTCAAGGCTAGCACTCCGCCACTTGAGCCACAGCGTCACTTCTGACTTTTTCTGTTATATGGTGCTGTGGAATTGAACCCAGGGGCTCATGCATACAAGGCAAGCACTCTAACACTGAGCCACCTTCCCAGCCCCAGTTATTGATTTTATTCTTCATAACTTCTAAGTGTTATAAATGTTCTTTTTCTATGCATTTAAATAGCTAATAACTCTTTAAAGCAAATAAAAACAGTCCTAAAATTGGATCGCTTCCTTAACACAAATCATTTTGATGCTGTGCCCTGATTTTATTGAAGATCACATGTGCTTATAAGTATTTAGAAATGCTACATGTCAGATGCTAAAAGAACTTAAAACTAATTTCCAATGATATGAGAAGGTGTTCATGATGTCAACAGGGTAAACTCAGGATACTGAACTGCATTTACTGAATGACTTTAAGACACAGGCACATTCACATAAAACACAGATGTGAAACACAGGATCAACGGGCACCAAAGTATTAACAGTGGTTATTTTTGACTCATCGGGTTAAAGTTCATTTTTAATTTTAATTTGTTTTGTGCGAGCCATAGGATCCCAAGGGATCTATGATTGGGTACAGGGAGAATGACTGATTCCAGTAGAGAAGTGCTGGTTATATAAGTGCTTATCCTATGTCTAAATAAAGACACAGGATTGTGTCTGACCTTCTGCAGTAATCCTGTCAAAAGACAAGAAGGAATGCCTTTGAGGACTTATCTGACGACTTCCTGATATCCTCTTTTCTACCTCTTGGAATGTGCCCTTTTAATCTGTTCCTGTAATTCCCTAAAGCTAGCCCGAGAACAATCTGAGGCTATAAAAGCAGAGGAAGGGAAAAATATCTTCCAGTTCAATCATGTGGATACGTTAAACTCATTCCCTGCCCTATGATGATACTGGAATATTAATTATTTAATATTAAAATATTAAATATGAGGTATCACTGCACAGGCATTTCTTCATCCATTGTCCCAGTATTTACTAGGTGAAACTGTCATCTTTTCAAACTGTATTTTCTAAATTTTCCTCAAATATGTATTTTAATATCAGTACAAAGCGAAAAAGCAAATGGCACACTTTTCTGTCAGAATCAAATGCATATGGTTTCCATCCCCTAGTTTTGAAAAAAAATATATGCGTGCTCAGGTTTCACCTTGGGTTTACTAAATGATTCTGTGTGAGTGAAGTTCAGGTCAATAGACCTGATTGCTCAGCAAATGAACTCACAACATAGACCATGATTTAAACATCTATTTCCAAGTGTAATTTTCTTTCTTTTTTTCAAGTTTAATTTTCAACTCCTAACTTACCCCTTAGGATCTAAAAGATCTCGAACCTTCTCGTTATAAATTTCCATATAGGATACTTCGACTTTAAAGGTCTGTGACTCATTTTGCTCCACAGAGATCCTTTTAAATAAAGCACAGCAGAGCCTTGGAATAAGGCCCAGCTGCTCAGCATGGCCCATCATGGAGAAGGATTTGCCTGAACCTGGAAGGGAGCAAACAGAAGGAAGAAAGGACAGAAAGAGTCAGCCGGCAATGTGTCAAACATATAAACTATCTTCTTCTTTCAGCTTAAGTCATATGGAATAAAAGCAAGAAACCAGCTGGACACCGGTGGCTCACACCTGTAATCCTGGCTACTCAGAAGGCTGAGATCTGAAGATCGTGGTTCAAAGCCAGCCCAGGCAGGAACATCCATGATACTCATCTCCAATTAACCATCAGAAAACCAGAAGTGGCGCTGTGGCTCAAGTGGTAGAGCACTAGCCTTGAGCTGAAGAGCTCAGGTACAGAGCCCAGGACCAGAGTTCAAGACCCAGGACTAACAACAACAAAAAACTGGTCCTCAAACCCAGGCCTGTGGACATCAGAGTTACTGCTGTTTACATCAAACTCACAGCCCTCAGTCTGAGATCCAGAGAATCCTTCCTCACACATGGATGTGTACAAATGCTACTCGCTAAGGTCACATACACTGAACCTAAGAATCATTAAATAGCCAGGCACCAGTTGCTCATGCCTGTAATCCTAAACTACTCAGGAGGCTGAAGTCTGAGGATCATGGTTTGAAGCCAGCTGGGACAGAAAAGTCCACATGGGACTCATCTCAAATTAACCACTCAAAAACCAGAAGTGGTGCTGTGGCTCCAGTGGTAGAGCACTAGCCTTGAGCACAAAGAGGCTCAGGGACAGTGCCCAGGAGCTGCACATATGCCCCACCACAATTGACAACAACAACAACAACAAAAATCACAAAATAATAATTGTACATGGAGTAGCCTGAGCAATATTTTACTGAATATACATAGTATGTAATATACTATGTCATTCATATATTCTCCTTTGCTTATTTATTCATTCCTTTCTCTAGTTGGAGGAAGTCATGGTCAGTGTGTTAAAGCTGGAGCCACTGATAGCTTCTATTGTGCCTGTTTCAGCCAACTGCTCCATTCATCACTGCTTTTGTACCCCAGTGAAAGTTTTCAGGAGGGGATGATTCTAAAAGTCTTTCTATTGTTTTCACTATAACATTTATGCTGAGAAACTGGTAAATACTTGTCTAGCTCAAATACAGGTTAAAATTCTAATTTAAGAAAATGACACTTAATAGACTGAAACTAGCTTTGCTCATTAATACTAAAATTAATCAATTACCAGAACTACTGCATTTTCCAGAAGAGGACTACTTTTGATCTGACACATTTTTCTGTAGCTAGCTTCTTAAAACTTTTTTTTTTCTATTTTGAAGCTTTAAGAACTATGTAGTCAAGCCTGCAGACGTAACTCAGTGATACAGCTCATGCTTAGTATGTATGAGGTCCTGGGTTCAACCTCCAGTACAAAATAAAGTACCCATTTAATATTATTGACTGTAATAAAAGCAATATTTTTACCTGTTTGTCCATAGGCAAAAATGCAAGCATTGTACCCCTGAAAGGCTTTCTCAAGAATTCCTTCCCCGAGGCACTGGAAAACCACTTCTTGACCTAAAAAACAAGACAAACAAAAAAATTAAAACTAAAGATAAGAAATGGATGTTTCTTTCCCTTAAGGTATCTATATTAACAACATACTGTCAGTCCTTCCAAAACATTAAAAGTATATTAAATGCTTACTGTATATACAGTGAAGTATGAAGAGCTGGTACACAATAAGCCCACCACATTCAAGGATTAATTACATGTGGTCTTGACTAAGCACAGTACAAAAACAATACAACGAGGCAAAATAAACTTCAGAAGCAATAGTTTTACATTCTCCTGCATGCATTACGCAGTTCCAGTGCTGCAGAGAAGTTCAGTCAGGCCCATGTTAGCACCAATTTTGTTTAAATCTCTGCATGATCTGCCAAGTGCTTCCCTGCCTTGGTTTTATGAAAATATTCTTCTATAAAACAGTGGTGCCACAAAAGCAGCGTAAAAGTTATAGTAATCCTCCAAGCCCAAAAGGATTTGTAATCTGCGTAACTGAAGCAGTAGAATGAACATTTTAGGTAGGTTGAAAGGCTGCATGTCTTTAGTGGAAAGTGGCCTGTGTTACTGAAGAAAATGAATCAAGCATTCATAGTAAGTACTAAACTCTGCACCTTGAACATTATTTACAGTTTTTCCTTGAGGCTGGTCTCCTTGGTAGCATGGACTCACCAACATCAAGAATCTACCATATGCAATTTCATCCTCCCCAGCTTGACAAGGTTGTGGTAGTTGCCCAGACTAGTCTAAAATTCATGGACTCCAGTAGCTTCCCCAGTAGCTGAGACTACAGGTATGTACTACTATAACTGGCTTGATATTTTATGATAATTTTATGAAAATGTATGATTCCCTAGTGTTTCCTTCTGATATTTCCTGAAAGCTTCTTTCTCATTTTCAGTGGGTCATACGGAAGCATCATTCAAATTTAGTTTTTTCTTAGGACTTAGTGTCTAAAAATGTCACTCAATATAAATTTTATAAACTCTCCATCTGGATACACAGCTTCCAAAGAACAAGAACCATGTCACACACATTTGTGCATCCCTTAGTGCCAAGCAACCACTAGTAGGGCTTCAGAAACACCCATGTCCACACAAGAGAGCAAGGCCAAATTCTCTTCCATGAGCTTCCCTGTCATTCTGCAGCTCTTAAGGTCATGTGCTATGTTATGATAGAGCAAGGTGAAGTGTAAAAGTGTGACAAACTTTAAAAAGATATAAGGCATCGTTTACTACCCTTAGAAATTAGAGACCTCCCTACATTCATTCCCAGTCACTCAGAGAATTAAAGTTATATTCTCCTTTCTCCATGTTCCTACAGTCCTTAGGATACTCACTATATGGTGTCTACAGAAGCTACTAGACCGAATGCCAGTTTCTAGTTGGATTGCCAGTGCCTGTTTCTGACACTGGAACAACACCCTGAGGTCAGAGACCATAATTTCTTCATCTTTGTAACCCAGGGCCTACTGTAAAATGCTTGATACCTGCTCAAACAAGGAGTCAGTTTCATCATTTTATCCTACAGGACATTGGAAAATCCTTTCATATTCAAAAGTAATATACAATGAGCTTTTGGTTGTATATTTTTCTTTTATGCAAAGTTGATTTTTTTGAATCTCCCTTGTTATACCATCATACAATATGATTGCAAAATGTGACTTTCATAGAGTGGCAACATGTAAAACTGATTAATATCCTTAACCATTAAGCTGCCAAATAATATTATTTTGACAAGACTAAATATTATTGGTTTGAAGAAATTGTATTTTTAATTAAAAAAAACAGAAATGAACCCACAGACCTATAGCCAACTAATCTTCGATAAGGGAGCTAAAAATATAGAATGGAAGAAAGACAGCCTCTTCAGTAAATGGTGCTGGCAAAATTGGTTAACTACTTGTAGAAAACTAAAGCTAGATTCTTATATATCACTCAGCACCAGAATCAACTCCAAATGGATCAAAGACCTTGGAATCAAAGGAGACAGGATGGAATAGGAGAAACCCTAGGTCTCCTTGGCACAGGCTGAAATTTTCTCAATAGAGACCCAGAAACACAACAAAGCAAAGAAAGGTTGGACAAATGGGATTGCATGAAGTTGCAGAGCTTCTGCACGGCAAAGGACATAGCTAGCAAGATCAGTAGAAAGCCCATGGACTGAGAGGAGAACTTCACTAGCCATACAACGGACAAGATCTCATATCTAAAATATACTTGGAACTCAAAAAATTAAATCCCCCAAGAAACTTCTCTGAAGAGGAAAGAAGGATGGCCAATAGACACATGAAGAAATGCTCAACCTCCCTAGCCATAAAAGAAATGCAAATCAAAACAACAGTGAGATACCATCTCACAAAAGTTAAAATGGCGAGAATCAAGAACTCTAAGAACAATAGACGCTGGAGGGGATGTGGACAGAGGGGAACCCTACTGCATTGTTGGTGGGAGCGTAAACTTGTTCAACCACTTTGGAAAGTAGTATGGAGTTCATCAAAAGACTCCACATAGAGCTCCCCTATGACCCAGCAATCCCACTTTTGGGCATTTACCCAAATGATCACAAACAAGACCATACTAAAGCTACCAGCATAACTATGTTTATTGCACCATTATTTACCATAGCTAAGATATGGAACCAACCCAGATGCCCCTCAGTAGATGAATGGATCAAGAAAATGTGGTATATATACACAATGGAATTCTATGCCTTCACCAGAAAGAATGATACCACTCCACTTGTTAAGAAATGGAAAGACTTGGAAAAAATTGTATTAAGTGAAGTAAGCCAGGCCCAAAGAAACATAGGTCCCATAGTTTCCCTTATTTGTAGTAACTATATCTGAGACAAGCAGAAAAGGTCAGATAAGTTGTTAAGTGAAATGAACCCCAAGATAAGGACACAAGTGGTTTTTCTTTCTTGCTATTGGTTCTAACACATTTATAAGGTGATTTTTTTTTGTTCTTTGTCCCTCCCCCACGGTATAACCCCTCTTTTCACTGTATTTGATGTTGGTATAATTTGTGGAGGGGAAGGGAAAAACAAATTGTTTAAATAGGGATACAGGTGGACCCATTGCAACAATGAGATGTACAAGACGTTATGTAGAAAAATGAATTTTACAACTTTGGTGCGGCTGGCTTTGAACCTGCCTCCTGAGTAGCTAAGATTACAGGTGTGAGCCACAGGCCCCCGGCTATGAGTACTTTTCTTTTGGGACAATGTCATCCCTTCCCTTGCTCTCTCCCAGTTTTTCCCTCCCATCCCCACCCACAAGTTGTTTAGTTCATTGTTAACAACTGTCTAGTGAGTACCACTGCTGCATTTGTTCAGCCTTTTTCCCTCCATGAAATAGTATTATTTTTTCAATTTAGAAAAAGTATTGTATAAACAGCTGGCAGGAGAATGAACAGACCTGAAGGCAAACCTACAATGGAAGATGCCATACTTAACTGGCTGTACATACCTACCCTAGAGAAACTCCCTCGAGGATGTCTTGGCAGCATCTTTCACAATGGAATCAAGTTAAATTGGAATCAAGTTAAATTCCACTAGTACGCAAACAGATGCCTCCTACGTAACTATTTTATGATGGAATATTCCAAATTTACACGATCTTATTTCTCTATTCCTTCTGTCCCAGCACAGTCTGGTGCCTAGGAGACGTTAGAAATATGTTGATTAACTCTGGGGCTTAGAATATGGATGTATTCATAAAAGTCCTTCCACAGGGTTTGTTGTGAAGATTGCCTAAAGATATGTGCCTGCATACATGTGCTCCAAGAATAAGGTATTGCCAATGTTATTTATCCACTACACTTACACTTGACAACGTGCTCTTATGGTATAGTCAAATAAAATAGGCGTCTTTTGCTCACTGAGCAAGTATCTGACCACTCGGAAGTACCTTTCATACACATCAATATTTTTTGTTCCCATTTTTCTCAAAGCATGTTCCTAAACTGAAGATATTCCCATGTGAACAGTTCACATGTTGCAAATTTAGCCCCCATACAACAATGTTGACAGGTAGGACCTGTAAGAGGCACATAAGCAGAGCCCTTATCCTATCTGTGTCTGTCACAAAAGCAAGTACAACCAAGTATGCTCGGGCTCACCATGTGATGCCTTCAGCCATGTTACAAAACAACAAGAATGACCTCTGCAGACACAGCCCCTCCATCATGGGTTTCCCAACCTCTCTAAGACAACACACTTACATTCTTTTTAAATTATCCAAGAATTCTCTTATAGCAGCACAAAACAGACTAAGACAAAGAACTTGAGCTATTGAAAGGATTCAAATGTGGAAAAGGACTGTGGTCAGAGATCTGATCACAGCTTCACAGAACCAGAGGTCATTAGCCAATCAAGACTCTATTCCTCTATCAGAGGTCATTAGCCAATCAAGACTCTATTCCTACGTCAGGAAATGAAATGTTATTCTTCTGATTTCTGCTCCCAGTGCAGAATAAGCTGGAGTTATATGCTTCTCTTGGTACAAATGGGTTTTTAAAGTAAAGACGATTACTTGGAAAGAAATAAATCAAACAAACTAGGATATGTACATTAAAACAGCAGGAAAATTAACCAAACAAAGAATGTTCCAATGTATAAAAATAAATTTTAATTTGAACTATGTCCAAATTATTACAAATAAATACGGCATGAAATAACCTATTTAACCTGCATTTATGCTATGAAGGAGAAGGAAGAGAATTAATCTTTACCTACTGTCTTGCTTGCAACACAACTTACATATTTTATCATTTTATATTATTAAGTGGTCATAATGTCAACTAAGGTAGGTATAAGTTAGGAGCGGACAGGTTGACTGGGGCTCTGAAAGACTAAGTCATTTGTTCCAGGGCTCACTGTAAATAAATGGCAAGCAGGATGTGAATCTGCCTCTATCAAGCATTAGACGTTTAGCCTGATGTTTTCCCATCAGTAACTCATGCTGTACAACACTGGCAATCAATCAGCTTCTCCACCTCAGGTCTCCACAGAAT